CAAAGTGAGACTCAAATTAGCCTTCACAATTCTGTGATTCTATAGGTAAATTTTAGATTTAAGCTAGGCCTGAAGCTGCATCACTAGAGTCGTATCTGTTTGGGCTGACTCTATAAAAGTGCAAACAAGGTTCTCAGGAATTAGCTTGTGAGAAACCCTCATTATTATTATTATTATTATTATTATTATTATTATTATTATTATTTTCAATAGTGTCTCAGGTGGCCAGGCTGGCCTCTAACTTGCTATGCAGCTGAAAATGATCTGACTTCTGATTCTTTTTCCTAGTATTGGGATTACAAGGGAGCATCACCTTTCTTAAAACCGTAATTTAATTTATTGTTTTGTTTTATTAAGATAGAATCTTATGTAGGTTAGGCTGTTCTCAAATGCACATTAGAGGGCCTTTGCTTCTTTTTGTGTGTGTGTGTTTTGTTTTGCTTTTTTGAGACAGGGTTTCTCTGCGTAGCCTTGGCTGTCCTGGACTCGCTCTATAGACCAGGCTGGCCTCGAACTCACAGAGATCCACCTGCCTCTGCCTCCCTGAGTGCTGGGATTACAGGCTTGTACTGCTGTGCCAGGGCTCTGATGATTCATTTCCAATGATGCTTCTAACCAACTTAGTTCCAGTTACAAATGAACAGAAAGCACTAAACCCCTGCTAATGCCTCTAGTCCAGCTGTGCTCCTCAGCCCGAGCTCTGCTAAGCTGTCCTCACCCACCCAGACATGTTTAGAGGAGAGAATTGCTAACAGCCTAGCTTTACTGTAAGGTCATGCAACTGTTGAGCTTAAAATAAGCAGTCAGCTCTGGATGGGAGTCATTCCTAGGTCTGCACCAGGGCCCAGAGAGGGAAGGTGTAGGCCTCCGAGACCAGATTTCTGTTTTTGTTTGTTTTGCAAAAGGCTTCTTATAGCTCAGGCTGGCCTTGAGCTAGCCCCTGTTATCGGAGGATGACCTTGAACTCCAGATACTCGTGTGTCTGCCTCCCCAGTTCTTCAATGACAGGTGTGTGCCACCATGCCTGGCTTGAGAAGGTTGCTCCTGATATCCCGTTAATTGCATCAGGAAGCTCCTGGGTTAGTAAAGCTCAACTCTGGGGATGTTTGTGAGAGGGCTTCCAGGAAGAACTAACTGAGGAGGGAAGCCCTGTGAGGTGCTATCCTATAGACTGAGGGGTCTGGGCTGGGAGATGGCTCAGCAGCTAAGGGTGCTTGTCACCAAGGGCAAGGACCTGAATTAGATTCCTGGAACCCACCTGGAAGAAGGAAAGAACTGACTCCAACAAGTTGCCCTCTGCCTTCCATATAGGCACACACACACCTATGCATATGCACACACAACTCCTCTCTCCCTCCCCCTCTCTCTGCTTCCTGGCTGCCCTGAAGTGAGCTGCTCTCTGCCATGCCTTTCCCACATGATGGGCTGAAAGCATGGACAAAGCTTTCTTGTCTTTAGTTTTTTGCTCAGGCATTTTGTGATGGTGACAAAAAATAAATAAGAATAAATAATTTAAAAATTAAAAAGGATCAAGATGGAGGTCTTGAAGTCAGTATGGAGAGGGAAGTGAAGGCACCAGCCAAACAGTTTGGGTGCTGATGTCCTTGGATTGTCCCTTGTCTGCTGCTTTATAGCCTGGTGCAAGGCCTGCTTGACCAAGAGGCCACTGGAGCAACACCTGCACCATGAAACCAGGTTGCACAGAGCCCATTTCTCCTTCCTCTTCCCATGCTGAGCGTGCAATCGGCATCACTCAAGCTGCCACCCTCCAGGGTGTCCTGTCCAAGCCCCTACGGGTCCACAGCATCTGAGGCCAAGAGTTATTTCAGGCACAGCCACGTGGTCAGTCCCCTGAAGAGCTGGGACCAGAATCTGCCTCGGGATTCCAGACTCCGCCCTCCTCCTCTCTCCAGGCTGTGTACTGTACATTTGAACACAGCCTATACATTGCGTAGGAGAGTGCAGTACTGTCAATTCCAAATGCACGGGCGCTTTAGCCCTATAGAAAATCCAAGCCAGCTGTGTTGGTGCGTACCTGCAATCCCAGCACTAGGGGAGGCAGGGGCAGGCGGATCTCTGTGAGTTTGAGGCCAACATGGTCTACAAAGTAAGCCCAGGACAGCTAAGGTTAAGGTTACACAGAGAAACCCCATCTCCAAAAACAAAACAAAGCAAAATTTTAAAAAGAAAATCCAAAGAGCACCTGTCTTTTTTTTTTTTTAAAGGTTTATTTATTTTATTATGCATACAATGCTTTGCCTACATGTACACTTAAACATCAGAAGAGGGCGCCAGATCTCACTGGAGATGGTTGTTAGCCACCATGTGGTTGCTGGGAATTGAACTCAGGACCATCTGGAAGAACAAGCAGTGCTCTTAACCTCTGAGCCATTTCTCCAGCCCCAAGAGCTCCTGTCTTGATGCTTTAGATAACTGCCTTTCTGATACTTGTAATTTATGATAATCTATCTATCTATCTATCTATCTATCTATCTATCTATCTATCTATCTATCTATCTATTATGTATACAATGTTCTATCTGCATATACACTTGCACGCCAGAAGAAGACACTGGATCTTATTATAGATGGTTGTGAGCCACCATGTGGTTGCTGGGAATTGAACTCAGGACCTCTGGAAGAGCAGCCAGTGCTCTTAACCTCTGAGCCATCTCTCCAGCCCAATTTATGATAATTTTAAAGTACATTACTTTATTTATTGGAACATGCGTGTGTCTCCACATGTGTCCATGTGTGCCGTGGTTTAAGTGTGGAGGTAAGAGGACAGCTTTGGGGAATTGTTTTTCCATCAGGGTTCCAGGGATTGAACTCTAGTCATCAGGCTTTGAAGCAAGTGTCTTTACCGGCTGAGCCGTCTCTCCAGCCTTGTGAATATTTAAGAATGTGTATGGGCGCTTTGCCTCCTTGTCTGTATATTATGCGCCATATATGTCAGCACGCTGTGCGCATACAGTGCCCATGGAAAGAGGTCAGCTGATCTCTTGGAACTGGAGTTATACATAGTTGTGAGCTGCCATGTGCTGGGAGCTGAACCGGGTCCTCTGGAAGAGCGGCCAGTGCTCTTAACTGCGGAGGCATCTGTGATTTATCATTTTTTTAAAACATTTTATGGAGCTGGAGAGATGATCCAGCAGTTAAGAGTGCGTTCTGCTCTTGCAGGAGACCCAGGTTCAGTTTTCAGAACCCACAAGAGGGATCACCTAACTGTCTGTGACTCCAGCTCCAGGGGACTGGACTTCCTCTTCTATAGGTACTGTAGTGCACACAGGCACGTGTGAGTGTGAGAATGTGTGCGTGTGTGTGTTTGCGTATGGTAATAAACGCTCATACGCATAAAATAAAAAATAAATTGTTAAAAAATAATTTTTAGCCCAGCAGTGGTGGTGGCACACTTTTAATCCCAGAACTCAGGAGGCAGAAGTAGGTGGATCTCTGTGAGTTCAAGGCCAGCCTGGACCTCAGAGTGAGTTCTAGCCAAGGCTACACAGAGAAGCCCTGCCTCTAAAAAAACAAAATAACAACAATAATTTTTGTGAGACTGACTTATTTTATGTTTGTGTGCATGCCCTAGTATGTGTGGGAGCAAAAGCACAAATTGTTTTCAGGAGGTGGCGCTCTCTCTGCCATGTGGGTTCAGGGATTGAACTCAGATAATCAGACTTGAAGCAAGCATCTTTACCTGCTATATCATCCTGCCAGACTAAAACATTTTTAAAATTTATACACAATTTAATTATAGGGTACAAAATAAGTGTTTTGATTGACACATCTATCAATCTCTAACTTTTCTTTTCTTTATTTTTTTAAGACAGTATTTCTCTGTGTAATAGCCTTGGCTGTCCTGGACCTCTCTTTATAGACTAGGCTGGCCTCGAACTCACAGAGATTCTCCTATCTCTGCCTTCTGAATGCTGGGATTAAAGGCATGTGACAATTCACCCAGCCTTTAACTTTTCCTTTTTTTTTTTTTTTTTTTAAGATGAAAAGGTATGTTTATTATTAGATCTTTTTTCACTTACAAGCTTTATTATGAAAAACATGGAAAAAAATCAGTTTTTAAACTTTTCAAAAACAACAACAACACCTGTCAAATGAATGATGTTCTTGTTTGCTTTTCTGTTTTTTTGGTCAACACCATGACCAAAAGCAGCTGGGGAGGAGAGTTTATTTCATCTTATAGTTAACCATCCGTCCTGATTCCTTTTTCTTTTTTTCTTTTCTTTTGCATTGGTGTTCTGCCTGCATGCATGTCTGTGTGAGGGTGTTGGCTCCCCTGGAACTGTAGTTATAGACAGTTGTGAGCTGCCTGTGGGTGCTGGGAATTGAACCAGGGTCTTCTGGAAGAGCAGCCAGTGTTCTTAACCTCGAGCCATCTCTCCAGCCCTCTTAACCATTTAGCATGGAGGAACCCAGGGCAGGAACCAAAAGGCAGAAACACAAAGCAAAGTCCATGGAGGAATGGTGTTTATTGTGCTTACAAACCCTTCAATGCTCTGAGGATTGGATCCACAGAACAGGATGTTATGGCCTTGAATGGCAGGGGCAACTTCTCCCTTGGGTCTCTGGGTGGGGTGGCTACTGTCACTTACTCATCAAAGGCCAAATGTCCACTGAGAGTCAGACAATGCCTACAGCTGGAGATTTAGCAGTGATCACTAGACTCATTCCTAAGGAAGAGACAGACTCAGGGCAGTCACGGGCTTTCTTCCTTTCTTGGGATCTTTACCCCACTGAGCAATACTGGATATGACTGTCCCCCGTGGGGCCCAGAAGAAGCAAAGCCATCTCAGGAAGATGGGGAAATTATTTCTCCATTTGGCATGCCAGACCGACTTCACCCACTGTCCAGAGGCTCATGAGGCAGCAAGAGTCTGAAGCAAGCCCCAGTCCCCACACATGCTGGCAGACAGCCAGTGGCAGGGTCTGTCAGGAAGGCTTTTGGTTGGGTTTTGCGTCAGGCTCAGGATGTGCATAAAAGAGCCTCTCAGGGCCTGGGGAGGCAGTCTTGGGAATCATGCAAACACAGAGGGGCATCTCCTCCCTGCAGCGGTGGCTATCACTGCTGCTGCTACTGGGTCTGGGGTTGCCTCCAGCCATCTCCCAGACCCTCAGCTACAGGGAGGCTGTGCTCCGTGCTGTGGATGACTTCAACCAGCAGTCCCTGGACACCAATCTCTACCGCCTCCTGGACCTGGATTCTCAGCCTCAAGGGGTGAGGTGGGGGAAGAGCAAGCTCTAATCCAAGGCGCCTCCTCCTTTTAGTATGGTCTCTCCTTTCCCAGGAGTCTCCCTAGATCCTAGATCCGGATCTCTTTCCAGACTGCCAGCTTTCAGGCTTGGAATACCTGGCAGAAGCACCCTCCACCCCATGATGCCTGGGACCTCCATTCCAGGGACGAGGGTGGAGTCATTGGCCCCAGAAATTGGCTTCCTTTGCTCTAAGTTTTTTCCATATCCAATGAAGGACTCTGCCTAGCCTTGCAGTCCCTAAGGATCCTCTAGGAAGGCCCTGGTTTCCCTCTTCATTTCCTGAAGGGGAGGTATTCTTCATTAAAGCTGCCTGAGGGCTGTTCCCGTTCACTGTGCGTGCAGGGAAGAAGGAAGGGGTTCCTTTTCTCCTCCTCTACCCCAGCACTAGGTCTTGTTTCGGCACCTAGCATGTAGTGCTGGGAGGTTGCTCTTTTAGTGCATGTCAGGAGACTGATCCTTGATGTTGAGAATGGGCCTGGGACAAGTCTCCCTACTTTCTTCCCTGAACAGGATGAAGACCCAGCTACTCCAAAGTATGTGAGGTTCCGAGTGAAGGAGACGGTGTGTGACAAGGCATCGGGACAGCTCCCTGAGCAATGTAGCTTCAAGGAACAGGGGGTAAGGCAGAGGGCTGGGTGGCCGGTGGGTGCCTCCTGAGGAACTATACAAGGAATCCCCAAAGAATCTTTCCATCCAGTGGGCTAGGGTTCAGAGGTTATGGCGCATGGATTCTACTTTGACCTTGGGCTTCCTCTTCTCAGCTGGTGAAGCAGTGTATGGGGACAGTGAGCCTGAACCAGGACACAGATGCTTTTGACATCAACTGTAATGAGGTAAGGGGATGCAAGGGATGGGGAGAGGATGGACCATGGGTTATCCTGAGTGCTGTTATCCTACCCAGAGCAGAGGACACTCCCCTTCAGCCCCTGGGCGCCTCCCTTGCACCTGAACCTCAACTCCAGGACTGGTTCTGTCATCCCTTAGAAAAGTGACCTCAAGTCACTCAAGTAAGTGGCTTACTCAGGAGCCAGAGGCAGGAGGATCTCTGTGGGCTGGAGGCCGGCCTCATCTACATAATGAGTCCCAGGCCAGATGTGGCTACAGGGCAACTTGTTAGGGATGTAGATTCTTAGGCCTCATTGAGACTTACTACAATGCCAAGGAAAGGACTTTATGTGGGCTTTAACACGCCTTTCTGGATATTCTGAGTCCTGCTAAAGCTGAGGGCATTCTCTTGGGTATGCACTCTCAGACGCTGGAGAGTCCTTTGCCATTCCCAGGTCCCAGTGTTCTCATTTTTCATTGTGGTTAAGGATCTGACTACTTGTTCCAAAGGCTGAAATAAGGTCCAGAATCTCTTGGGATATCCTGAAGTGTGGCTAGGTGGGGAAGGATCTTTGGTGCCCCTGGGGTCAGCCCCACAAGAAACCCCTTTCTTCCTGGTATACAGCCTGGTACACAGCCCCGGCGGTTCAAGAAAATTGCCAAGAAAGTCGCCCTGCTGGGTGAACTCCTCCAAAAAGGTGGAGCGAAGATTGGTAAAAAGCTTGAGAAAATTGGCCAGAAAATTAAGAATTTTTTTCAGAAACCTGAAATCGAGACAAAGAAGTAGGCCTGCTTTGGCCTGTTTCTAGATTCCAAAAATAATAAACTTGGTGAAGGAAACTTCTCAGTGGCTTTTGTATTCATTCAGTCTTTAACTGTGGAGGCTGCCCTGGTGGGTGCTGGGAAGCAGATCCAGGTCATCTGGAAGAGCAGCCCATGCTCCTAATCCCTGAGCCATCTCTTTGGCCTCAACCCCTCCTATTTATTTTTTTTTCAAGATTGTTTTTCATTTCTTTTGAGTGTGCGAGACGTGCATACTACAGCACATGTGTGGAGGTCAGAGGACAACTGTGGGAGTCAGTGCTGTGGGACCAGAGAGCACAGGGAGAACAGGCAGCCCAGGCCTCTGGCTTCTGCATCACCAGACAGCACCCTTCTGTCAGGCCTGCAGCGCAGTGTGCCAATTGGAGAAACTGCAGCGTTAGCGCCACAGTTCTCTAAGGACATTAAGGGCATGGGGCTTCAAAACCATTTCTGAAGTCCCCTTGTTACTGAGACCAGAGTGGTCTCAGACGTTACTTTGGGTCTGTGGCTCTAACCAGAGCCTCCAGGTAGCAAACACACTTCCCTGGCTCTGAAGCTTGGTATCCTGTCTCCAGCAGGCTCACAGGGTCCATGGGTGACCAAGGTTTTGACTCCATTTAGTTATCTTGGGGCTTAGTGTCCAGCCCACTCTTGGTCCTGTTGGTACACAGCAATGATGGGATCCTTTCAGCAACTCTTTCCATAGTCAACACCAGGAATCACCAATTCCCGGAGCTGAACTTCATGTAGATATTCCCCTAGGAAGAGTCCCAGAAAACAATATCCTGGGAGGCTCAGAAAGAGAGGAAGTCAAGACAAGGTCACTCCAACAGAAAAAAAATGTAATACAAAAACCAGGACACAAACCATCACCCATGACCCGTTACCCACCACACCACTCCTTATGATGGAGTTGGGAATTATAGACAGCTGGGTTCTCCACAAAGTCTTATCCTCAGAGTGTCTGTAGAAGCTCTCTCGAGATCTGTCTTCATTTGGCACAGCTCTGATTCCAATAGTTTTGAATTTTCCCCTGTATCTGGTTGGGTCTATCCAGAACTGCTTTCATCTAATTTGAATTGGCCTCATCCCATTTGAGTTCTAACCAGCGCTCTTCATGTTTTAGTGTATAGATTCATCCATTTGAATTTGCCTCTAACTGGACAATCTGATTTGGTCTTGCTTTTATCTTGTTTTGTCTGGTGTTATTCTATTATGTTCATATATTTATTCTGAAGAATATTTTAAAATTGCTTTAAAGCGATCTTAAATTTTAAATCGCAGTTATTTACTTACTGAGGGTGTTCATCACTAATTAGGTCTGCAATGACTGCTTGCAAATGAACTCACATTCTGAAATGCTTGGAGTTAGGGATTCAACTTATAAACTGAGGTAGGAAGTACAATTTAAGCCACAACTGTCTGGGATATTGACCTGTATATAATGTATCAACTAGGAATTTGGGCTTGGTGTTGTAAATGTGTGTTGAAATGGAATGGTCTGGAACAGTGGGATTGATGTTAGATCTAGACCTTAGCTTTTAGCAGTGTGCCCAGATCTCAGACCTGGCTGTACTGCTTGGATCTAGGCTTTAGTCCTGGATTTGAACCTCAGATATGGACTTTAGGCCTTAGAGCTTACTTTCACTGCAGAACTTCTTCTTCTTCTTTTTTTTTTTAAAGATTTTACTTATTTATTTTATGTATATAAGTGTTCTATCTGCATGTATACCAGTACTCCAGAAGAGGGCATCAGATCCTGGTATAGATGCTTGTGAGCCACCATGTGCTTGCTGGGAATTGAACTCAGGACCTCTGGAAGAGCAGACAGTACTCTTAACCACTGGGTCATCTTTCCTGCCCCTATCATTTATTTTTTATGTAGATCAGGCTAGCTTTGAACTCACAAAGATCCACTTACCTTTACTTTTGAGTGCTGGCATTAAAGGCAAGTGTCACTACATCCCAGAATCTTTATCCTATAACTCAGATATAAGCAAAAGCTTCATGAACTTGGCAGAGGCACCTTGGTTCAAAGAGAAAGTGTCTCTTCCTCAGGACACAGCCCTGTGCACTGCTGCACGGCATGGTTTTGAGTCCATGTTCAGCCAGTGAATGTGTACATCCATGCTCTACAGAATCAACCCGCTGAGAGATTCTTCTATGATTCTCCCTTCAGTGAGCACAGACCAGAAACCGGGCTTCCAGCAGCTGTGATGACTCCAATGAAGGACAAGGAGAAAGCCTGAACAGGAGTACTGCGAGCCTGGAGGATTCAGTAGAACAATTTATTAAGGAAGCCGGGGTAAATGTTGGTTACACAGGCACTGCATTTTTCTGGTCAACAGGTAGGCTCCTTCTTGAGTGAGGATGCCAGTGCTTTGAAAAAAGAGGCATCACCATTCTTCCTGAGCACCCATGAATATTCCATAGAAGAGGTAGATAGAGCTAGACTGCAGCAGCTTAACAGTGCTATGCTAGACCTTCCAGCAGGTGGTGGGGTCCAACAGACAGACAATGGCTTCAGCCCACTTCCTTGACCCTAACAGAAAGGTTGAATGTTGAGACCTGTCCTCAGGGACTAAGGGGACTTTACTAGGCTGGTTTGGGGCCTCCTGTTTCAATTGCACAGTGGATGCCTTCCTCTGGACTGTAGCGTACAGGACCGCAGCGCAGCTGGGGTTCCTCCTCTTCATACCAGCGCTGTTCACTGAAGTCAGGGAAGAAAACGGCAATCTCTCTGCTGGCGGAAACCACGGAGTCTATGAGGAGAGGAAAGGTAGAGAAGAGCTACTTAGGAGGTTGAGGCAGGAGGACTGCAAGATTGGGACCAGCTTAGAAATCAAAGCAAGACCTTGTCTCAGAAAATAAGACGAACGAGAGAAGAGGGTTTATCACAGGAATGGGGGGTGCAGGCAAGCCAGACACAGTCATCACCAGGTTCAGAGTCTGAACCATTCAGTCCTGGGGCATGCACAGAAAGCCCACAGGCCACATGCCTGAGACAGCTACAAAGAGCCAGAAATACATGGAACAGAGCTCAGTGGAGGGACCCCTGGGCTGTTACCATCACCACATGGCTTCCTCATCTGCCCCAAGACATCCTTCCTCATTTGTGGCCGTGGATGAGAGGTTTAGACTCACCTGAGCCGTGGGTAGTATTTCGAGTGTCAGTGAGGCCCAAGCTCCCACGGATTGAATTTGGGGCCACGTAGCGTGCTCGAAATACTCTAGTGGGTCCCATCAGCGTCCTCCAAAGCTGGATGGCATCTTTGTGGGCAAGGATGTAGGCTCGGATTGGCCCACTGAGAATAAAAGAAGGGATCTGACCACCCAGTCTAGAACACGCTGGTGAGCAGGGCAAGGGTGAAAGCGAAGTGTACATTCTGAGAGTCTCTTTGCCCTTCTAGTGAGTGCTGACACTGCTTTCGGGAGGAGGTGATGGGTATAGGCAGACTGCTGACGTGCAAAGGGTGATCAGTGGCATTGCTAAGCAGCATTCAACAGTGTGCCACCATAGCCCCCGGTCCAGTAACCGCAGGACAGGTGCCACCATAGCCCCCGGTCCAGTAACCGCAGGACAGGTGCCTGCCAGGTCAGTGAAGCTCAGTCATGTTTCTTCAGACTTGATAGTGATTACATCTTTAAAAAGTGATAAGTGGAGTCATCTTTAAAAAGTGATAAGTGTGGTGGCTCATACCTGTAATCCCAGCACTCAGGGAGGCAGAGGCAGATGGATCGCTGTGAGTTCAAGGCCAACCTGGTCTACAGAGCAAGTCTGGGATAGCCAAGGCTACACAGAGAAACCCTGTCTCAAAAAACCAAAACCAAAAACAACCCCCCAAAAAAGTGGTAAGTGAAACAGACACTTCTATTCTTAGAAGAGGAGGTACACTGTAGCATATAGAGAGATTGGGACAAAAATTAGAGGTACCTGGCCATGAACTCCACCAGCCGCTGATAGAAAAAACGCCCTGCAAAGAGAGAACCTCCATGAGGATACTGAGGTGTTTCTCACTTTTCACTACCTGCAATACCACACTGTTTACAGAGAAATAGCAAGAAACTTGGAGCCCGACATTTCCAAGTCTGGATCTAGATTCTGCCACTTACAATCTGTACAGCTTTGGTTGAGTCATTAACCTCGCTAATGTGTCTTCCATTTTTGCGTCCTGAGCATATAACATCACCTTGCTATGATTTATTTGGGAAAAATTTATTTATATTTTCATTTTGTGTGTGTTCGAGACATGGTCTTTCTACATAGCCCTGGCTGGCATGAAACTATGTACACCAGACTGTCCTTGAATTCACAGGAGATCCACCTGCCTCTGCCTCCTGAGTACTGTACATTTTTTTCTAAGAAAAATTGTGTTCTGTCTTTTCTGTTTTGAGTCACCTGTGTAGTGCACACCTTTAGCCTCAACATTTAGGCAGAGGCAGAGGCAGGCAGAGCTCTGTGAGTTTGACTGATGGTCTCTAGGCCAAGTTCCAAGGCATCACAGTGAGACTTTGCCTCAAAAACAAACAAACAAACAACAAACTGCTGCTGGGAAGTAGTGGTGCACACCTTTAAGTCTCAGCCCTGGGGAGGCAGAGGCAGGTGGATCTTTGTGAGTTCCAGGCCAGCCTGGGCTACACAGAGAAACCGTCTCTCAACGACCCTCCCCCCCCCCCCAAAAAAAAAAAAACCTAACAAATTTTTTTGATAGGGTCAATTGAATACAGTACCTGCAAAGAGCAGTGGGGTAGTATCTAGAACACCCCCTGCCACCTCCTTTTCTAAATTTGAGAAAATTAACTGAAATAATGAGCATAATGGGAGTATTTGACAAGATAAATGTTCACTTAGGGTTAATTACTGATATTACCAACACATAATACTGAATTTCTGATTGGGACTATAGGGAGATCTCTTCTAGGAAAAGGAAATACCAATTATCATGAGAGGCCTTGTAGAAATGAGCAGGAGAATACACTCTG